GATGTAAGATTCAGCAGGTTTGGCTCAAGATTTTTGTGCTGCTTAAATCAAGCTAGCAGGTGATCCAAGCTATAAGGTAGCTGCAAAAAGGAATCTCGAATCTTGAATTTAGCATAAATTGCTTGTTTTAAGATAAAAATTCTTGAATCAAGCTGAGTTTTTCTCAAGATTCCGAGACGGCTTGACCGTAGCAGACTTTTTTTTTTCCAGTGTATACATAGCAAAGAACGCCACGCCACTGATAATCAGTGGCGTGGCGTGCTTTGCGATATATCGCTGTTCTGCCATTTAAACCTAGGATGAAGAATCGATTACCAAGGTGTTCGCTGCGAACACCCTGATTATCGATCCTTTTCCATGGGTTTAAATGACATAACAATCGATACATCGCAAAGCACGCCACGCCACTGATAATAATTTAGGCCCCAGAATATAGTTCCGCTGATCCCGGATCCGATTGGGATCCGGGTATTTTCGCCGCTACTTGCATCTCAAAGCCAGGGAGTGCAACGCAACCCGCCACTCGTCAGGCCCGGCGAGGAGATCATCCGCAGACCGTCCCAGACCGGCCCAACCACCCTTATGTGGATCTGGACCTGACCAAAAAAAACATGCCACAAGCACTCGAGGTTACCCAAGGCTCCCGTGACACGAACATATGACGGTCTGTCCGCTCAGATGGAGGTCATCAAAGTCCGTCAACGAGCATTGATGGCCCCCCCCCCCACCTGAATGGAAATTCGACCGTGATGTGTACGCGTAACGAGAGCCTTTGCGTCAAAGGAGCGTCCACGCGGTTCGTCCGATCGTCGAATGGACGGTACGTCGAATAGCCCCCCGGTCGCTCCAAAATTAGAGCAACTGGCGGATTGCGCGACGGACCGGCAATCCAACAGTCAGATAAACCGTGTGGACGCACCTTCGTCAGTTCCTACGCTCCCTCTACACACAAACGCACCACAAATCGACCATTCACACAATCACACGCACACAAACCAATTATTCACACAATCACACCCACCCACAAGTTTAGGTAAAAAAAAAGACATAAATATACCATAATAAACTTAGGAATGCACAATTAAAAAATGAACATTGTTGTGAATCTAATTAGTCAGGTCCTCTCTTGATAGTTTAAGGTGATTCGTCAAAGTCAAGTGACGTGGTCGAACTAGCATGCGATAAATCGCATCGACTGGGTCAAACATCTCAGCAGATTTTGAATTCTCAGCAATTAAAGGACGACAGCCCCTGTGCACGAGCCTAAAGAATCATTTTAAACCCCAAAATTGGCACAATTCAGAGAAATAAAATCAGTATAGTGTCAGGGAAAAAACCTCGCATTTGATTCAGCTACCGATTTCTGTATCAAATATGAGATTTTTTTCCCGTGCACAATTCTGCTTTCATTTCTCTGAATTTTGCCAAATTTTAGGTTTAGAATGATACTTTAGGCTAATGCGCTGGGGCTATCGTCCCTTTATAGCAAAAAAATCAAAATCTGCAGAGCTTTTTGACCGAATCAATGCGATAAATCGCAGACCAGTTCGACCACGTGACTTGAGCTGGACGAATCACCTTGCGAAAATGAGGGAGGGAAAAAAGAGGAAGACAGGAAGGAATAGCGTGGATAAATGACACTGAACTGTGAGGAGCTTGAGAGTAAAAGATCATGCAAAAGAATAGAATCGGAAAAGGATAAGGTCAAACTGTGAATCCAATGGGAGGAAAAGTTAATTGATAAGAGAAGGGGTACAGTGAGGATTCAGGTGCTGATTATAGGAAGGTGATAATGGGATGGGAATTATTACTGGTGATGTGAGGAGAATGTTTAAGGTGATTCTTCAAGCCCAAGTGACGTGGTCAAACTGGCATGCGATATATCCCATCGATTCGGTTAAAAATCTCTGCAGATTTTGAACTTCTAGTAAAAAAAGGACGATAGTCCCTGCGCATGAGCCTAAAGAATCATTCTAAACCCATAAATTGGGTAAATTCGGAGAAATGAAATCAGACTAGTGTTAGGGAAAAAAACCTCGCATTCGATTCAGCTATCGATTTCTGTATCGGATGCGAGGTTTTTTCCCGTACAAAATTCTGCTTTCATTTCTCTTAATTTTGCAAATTTTTGGGTTTAGAATAATTCTTCAGGCTTGTGCGCAGGGGCTATCGTCCTTTTTTTTGCTAAAGATTCAAAATCTGCCGAGATATCTGACCTAATCCATGCGATACATCGCAGACCAGTTCGACCACGTCACTTGAGCTTGACGAATCATCTTAGAGAGAATTTTGGATTTTATACACCTCTTTCACGTCTGAGACCCTAGTGAGGGAAGTGGTTCCAGTGAAATGCTAATTTTATTTCTTCGTTTGAGCCTCATTTTTTTCGGCTTCAAGAATTGTTTTATACTCAGGCTGAAGTACAGTCTAGGGACTACTGACCATATTTTAGACTTCAGTACTAGATACCTGCAAATTTTTGTACGTCGCTATAAGCTTACCACCTACTCGTTAAAAATAATTGGGACGAACCAGATTAGCACCGACAGGTGAACGAAAATGTTCAGAAAGGGGTAAAATACAAAATTTTGGAGAAAATTTGTTTTTAAAATAATGTACGTAGGTAACTCTACATCGGGAACTACAGGGAGGAAGAAACGACTGAACAAAAATGTTTGCGAATGTTCAAAGAATATAGAAACATCATTTGAAGAATCATCTATTTGACACCCTTTCTCCTCTTAGAGAATAAACCATAGCGGATACTGACGAAACAAAAATCCTCATAAAACAGTCCTTTTTTCCGAACGAATGGACTTGAAGCCATTTCCCGATCATGGGCCCGGGAGGGGGGGTGTGTGTGGTTTGATCGTCAGAATAGCACGCCGGTCATAACAATCCATCAGAAGGGGCGAAGTTTCCGAGATAGTAACTATCACAGTAGACGGGAGGAAGAGAGAGAGAGAGAGAAAACGAGGGTTTGACTGAAGAAGCCGCAATCGTGCAGACCACCTGCCATGAAGAAAACTCAGATTCTAGAAGAGCAATAAGTGATTATGTTGAAAAGCTGAAAATCGACTGAAATCGTTCCGTGCGGCTTCAGGATTCTGAGACAAAGGGTTCTCTGCCCGAAAAACCAGACAGGAGACACAAGCCGTGAGGGCCCGCATCCGGTCCCAAGGCGTCAGTTTTCGTCGCCGATTTCTCATCTTGCCCGTTTCGCTTCACTCATTCACTTCAGGCAAATCACAGGGGGAAGGGGAGAGACCCACCCAGCGTGTTAGAATCGGGCGGGAGAAAATCGCCCGGCAAGCACAAGATAAGCGAGAGGGGAAAAAAGGCGGAAGAACTCGCCGCTCCTCTGACGTAAGGACGATCCGAGATTTTCGAGTGAGCCCCGGAGAGTATGTATTTTCACGTAAAACAGGGCTCACGTGGAAATTCAGTTACACTTTTTGGTCAAAAGACCGACGAATTGGACTTCTTTATGCGATCAGGATATACAATTTCAGGCTCATCTGTAAAAACACGTAAGTGCATAGGGAAAGTAATGGCACATACGTTGTTCTTAGACCTTGCTAGAAATGATAGTTCCAAATGGCAAAATGTAGTTCAATTGAGAGAATGAAAAGAACAATAATCGACACATTTTGCTCGGCGTAAGGAAAACCGGAAATAGCGCCCCAAGTGCAATAGGACAGAAAAATCAAAACAACTCTGCAGCAGCCTTTGCAACTTTGGCAAGACGGGTTGAAAGGTCTTCAAACTTTCGAAAATACTAAATTACTTAGGATCATTAAGAGGATACTTATTGAGTACAAGATTTAGTCTCAATTTTCAACTAACGACGTGGAAACATTTCACAGAACCGTATTCTCACACTGAGCAGCATTTTTGAATTACTAAAAATGTGGCGAAACTTCTCTGTTTCAAGGAAATTGCTCAAATTTTACACGGGATTTTCTCATGTTGGAAAAGTAATTCCTTGAAAATCTGCGAAAAGGAAAGTGGGGGGGGGGGGGCGGCGGCAAGCAAGAGCTCGTACGATTGGGTTGAAATGATAAGTTCCAGTTAGACACTTCAAAATGCAAAAAGAAAGATGAGGAATAAAATGAAAGCTCGAGATGACGGAAACATAAAAATCCCAATTCAACGACTCAACCTTCCTCGATAGACTTGTAGCTCACATTGATCATACGTGAAGCCTTCAAGTAATAATGAACGATTTAATCAACCAATGAAGTAACATAAAGAGAGGCTGCAATAACACGAAAAAACCGGGACGTTTTGAAAAAATAACAATTTCATTTTCTACTGGGGAAAAAAACCAAAAAGGAGTCGTCGATTTCTCTCCAATCAACATACTTTCCTACTCTTTTCAAAGCAGACAAAACTTGCGCGAAATTATCATCTGAAGGTACAATTGCAAGACAGAACGTAAATGAAAAATTCATATTATTTTCATTGAACAACCTAGGAATTCTCAGATGAGGGAAAAATAGCGTGGTGAGTCTATATTGGTAACCTGAAATGAGAGGGTACAAAAATATTCATGGAAGGGCTTGGAGGACAAGGCTCATTCAGTACAGTTTATGAAAAAATTGACATATTCATAATCTCATCTAAATCTAATTTGAGAGTAGGTATGTTCTTAGAAAACTCCCGACTAAAATCCAACTTTAAAGCATCAAAAAGTGAGTTTGAACTTCCTTTCCGCCATTAGGCACCACGAAATTTTGAAACTATTAACACATATTTCTGAGAATAGACAAAATTCAAAAGATTTCTGTGCGCCTTGTCCTCCAAGCCTCTCCATTTAAAACCTTGGAAAAATTTCCTTTCAGTGGATTGCGAGTATGAAAGAAGAGGAATGACTGAAGAGAGAAAGAAACAGGAAAATCACAAGGGTAGATCACATGACAAGAAATACACATTTACACCTTAGTTGGGCAGAATTTAAATCAGAAGTAAGTAAATTATCTCAAACCTCGAGCACAGACCAAACCGTGATAAACAGAAGCAGTAGTAGCCAAAATTTCCCATCGAGAGAGCCCATCACAAGATTCAGTTCTGCGTGAAGTTGAAAAGCCACGGAAACCGACGCGAAATGTCCACATCTCCAAACGAAATCACACCACGACAAACCGAATTTCCGCACGAGTTAATTGCACGACGAATTACAAAACGATGCGATCAAAAATGAAAAACACGACGAGACGGAAGGCGAATCGCGCGATGCTGTTTCGAACTTCCGAACGCGTGTACCGGCGAAACCTCGAGACATGGTGGATGAATTCAAGAAACAGAAGCGTTAAACACGGCACAGATTATCGACACACTTCATAAAGATACACACGAGACTTAATTACCGACAAATAAGAAGAAAACTCAAAGGAAACTCTATTAATTCTGAAGGGATGTTGGGGAGCCAAGGCGGCCGACGCGTGCGCGACCCGACACGTTCAACGAATGCGACTCAAGTGAGGAGTGAGCGACGCTGGCTGGCCGAATCTCTCCAAGGACAGACTCGTTCTCAACCTCGGGCCTCGGGCGGCCGTGACAGTGATCAGTTTTGCATAGGGTAGCTTCCCGCCGCCAGAGGGGCTCGCGAGCTAGCCTCCGGCCGGCTTCCGAATTTTGCCGATTTGCTCGCACCTATCACACGTTACACTGATGCCAGATTTTTCGAATAATCTTGTGGGGTCTCTCTAGAAGTAAACGACTTATGTACATTATACAAACACAAATCCTCAATTATGTTATAATTTCTTTCCTACCGTTCCAGTCTTCCTTTTAAGTTACTCCTGTTAACTAATCCAAATCAAAATTTACTTACCTCTCTTCTCTCGCTCATTAAATGTCCCACTGTTTTTTCACACTCACATTTCATTCAAAATAATTGAATTAGATCTAAGATGTATACACAAATTGTTATCGTTGTTGGGGGTTTCGTCACTTAAATAAAGAACTCTACTTGTGGCTGTAAGTCGTTTCCTTGACGCAACGATTTTTTTTTCCTCAGTTCAACGAAGAACCGCCAATAAAATAGTTTTCCTTGTTGGAAGGAATCAAAATTTCATCGATACATAATTAGTAGGGTGCATCATGAGAATTTTTTCATTATTTTGTTTGAAATTTTTAGACAATTTAGATCTGATTGCGAAGAAAATTCTCTGAAGAACGAGAGGAGAAATCTTCACAGATTTCCCCGAAAATTCGTATTTAATCAAGAGAAATTTGATAACGTCTGTAGCCTCATTCGGCTTTCCTCTATTTCGCATGGCAGCATTCTGGTAAATCCTGATTCCAATCTTGAATCGGTATACGGTCAAATTCAGCCTCCTCATAAATTTTCAACGAATCCAAAAGATAATAATGTTCGACTGCAGAGGCTGACTTTAATTATAGGAGCATCTCAAAACTCTGAAAGTAAGGTACACATATTCCGAGTTGTTCGGGAGAGTGTCGGCCTAGCTCGAGGTTTTAGGGATGATAATTATTTTTCTGAGCCCCCCCCCCCCCGGAAAATTTTGAAAATCTATATTATGTATGGTGTAATTTTGAGATAATTTCCTCAACTATACACACTGGCTGGAGATGTCAGCTTGTTTATTTTGAGAGAAAAGATAAAAATGTATGAAATTCAATCAGGATGATTTGGACCGCGTTTATCAGAAAGGACTCAAGCCACATCAGCTATTGCCAAATTTAACTGGGCAATAAAATTTTTACAAGAAAACGTTGGTGCCGATTCCTTTGGAAATTTTAATGAATTTGCTTCGTACCACGCAGAAAATTCACTAAAATTTGCACCGAAAAACCGCACAACCATTTTCATGTAAAACATTTAATTGCTCAATTAAATTTGGCAATAGCTGATGTGGCTTGGTTCCTTCCTGCTTAACGTGATCCATTTGGTCTTAGAGTGCTTAGTGACTGCTCTTAAATCACGATGTTTCCCTCACGAAAAAACATAACTACATTTGAATCTTGCGTGATTCTCATTGTAAATTGCATTTTTATCATGGTAATCTTATCGTTTTTAACTAAAAAAATAGCAAAAAAGGTAGATTATGCAACCTTGGAATGGAGATACGTTCTTTCGCCTAGGATACAACGGAACTTGGAACAGTAAAGTTGGGTCACTAAACCGTGTGCTTTTTATTGAGTATTCTGAAAGCACTGGGTGAGTAGATTGTGTGGTAAATTGCATATTTTTGAAGCCATTATCCTGGATATGCGTATCCTGGATACGTTCAAAAACTTGAAGAAATTCCAAACGCTCCGGAATGTCGGGCAAAATGATGGGAGTGATGTACCACGGCAATCAAATTGCTATCTGCTCTCATTTTCTATCGATGTTCGTTGGAGTAAAACGTATTTTAATGTGGAATTGCTACTTGTTTACTACAGATAATATGGATGAGATTTGATTATTTAATTTTGAAGTTAAAATTTCGAATTTTTTATTAATACTTGAGGAGTAGAAAATCGCTTTGGACGGATGTCGTAGACACTTGCGCCCCTGATTGGTACCGGATGACATCATTTCGTTAGGCGTGGAACCGGGGCGTTGTAATTTGCGGAAAAGTTACGTTTTTTGAACTGCGCATTTCTCGGGTTCTGGCTTATTTTCCGCATTTTCAACGTGCGCATCGTGTTCTACGTGCCATTTACCTTCAGTAAAGTCAAAATTCGTACATGATTTAGTGACCGATTCTGGTTAAAAAATAAATCGGGAAAGAGTGCGTCGTAACTCACTTCCGAGGAATCAAACCCCCTTGCGGTTCTCTCAAAGATTTGCGAAAGTTCTCCTTCGTACGACTCTTTGAAAGACATAAAAAGCGAACTCCTCAAACTACTCTCAAAATAACTTCAAAACAGGGCACAAGGGTCGACGCAATCGATGGAAGTGCCGGCGGAATCGAAAACATTCTAATCTCCTCGATTTTCCCTGACCGCTTCCTCCGGCGCCGTAAGACAGAGAGCCCGAAAGCTCGAGCTTTTTATCAGTGCTTAACGCCCTCCCTTTGCAGCTTATTTTCCCCGCACTCAACACAGACCTCAATTCCCATTCCCCCATTCGATTGAGCACCTTTCAAACCGCCCTTCCCTCTTCGATCGGAAAAATTCCCGCTTTTAATCCCAGGTAAGTTCGTCGGGGACTTCTTCTCTCTGTAAAACGTAGCCTCCAGGGGCACCCTGCACCCCCCCCCCCCCCACATCCTGCCGTTTGTACCCCGCGTCTCTCTCTTCATAAACCGCTCTTAAAGCCACTATTCGTCTCACCTTGCCAACATTAATCCCATGTAGTTGTGCTCGACAATGTCAGGGCAGTGTTGCAATGTCATTACGCTCTTTCAAGCTGTTGAGGTAGCAAGAAAAGGACGTATCTATGCTAAATGGAACTATGTGGAATTGAAAAGGTGGGGTGTGCTCGTTAGTGGTCGGGCCATAAGAAAGAATGGGGATTTCAAAGCGCTAGTGACGTCAGCGGTAACGAAGCCGTCTCCGTTGTCGTTCTCGCTCGTATTTAACTCCTGAGCCCTGTCCACAAGGCTCTTGTCACATGTGCACGGCTCACGAGTTAGCGCTCAGTCCCTTTTGATTTAATGTCAAATCCCGCTTTTCCATTTTCTCAAAAGGAACTTTATCCACTTTTACATTGCATCTTATCCAGCTTCCACGAGCACACCCCATTTTTCCACCTCCACATAGTTCCTTTTAGCATAAATACACCTTCACCTTTGGACCGTGTTCAGCAGAAAAGACCCAAGCCACATCAGCTATTACCAAATTTACCTGTGCAATTTAAATTTTTACAATAGAACGTTCTTACGGATTCCTTTAAACATTTTAGGGCATTAACTTCGTACCATGCAGGAAATTCACTGAAATTTACATAAAAATCCGCACAACCGTTTTCGTGTAAAAAATTAAATTGCCCGATTGAAGTTGGCAATAGCTGATGTGGCTTGGCTCTTTTCTGCTTAAAGCGGTCCACTTGGTAAACTAAAATGTGTGGGTCTCTTGATAACGCTATGCTAAATTTCTGATTTTTTTTTTCTTTTTTTTAAATTAACAGTTGAATTTATACTGAATGTTTCACAACTACTGAACTTAATCTTCAGTATCTATTGGCACTGTTTACAGTTATACTTAAATGATATAACTTAAAATAATACTAAGAAGTGGCCCGAACTGGAAAAAACTAGGTGGAGAAATGGTGCTGGGTCCACACCATTTCGCGGGGAAACAAAGCCAAGAAATTCCAAAAATTAAAATTAGAGTCAAAATTAAATTTTTGAACTCTAATGCTTGAGCCCCCTCAGTTTCGTACTGGTACGCGTTAGAGTTCAAAAATTTAATTTTAACTCTAATTTTAATTTTTGGAATTTCTTGGCTTTGTTTCCCCGCAAAATGGTGTGGACCCAGCACCATTTCTCCACCTTGTTAAAATAAACTTATGATATGACTAAGTTTACGGTCTCTGATAAGTTCGGTACAACTTAAATCGCAAATCCCTGCGGCACGCAAGAAATCCCTGGAAACAATTTACCTGAAACCAGGGAAAATCTATTTCTCAGTTAACATATTTTCCGCTACGCGGCGCCACCGGGCATCCAGGCGAGACCGCGTAGGGTGGGTGATTTATGGCGGGATGAGGTTGAATTATTAAACTGGGTGGCGCACCTCTCCTCGCACCGGCGGTCCATGGCCCAGCATCCAGCATCGCGAATGACCGATTTCAATCACGAAGAGTGCATCCTCCTCGTCCGCCGCACAGTAGATCGAGTCAATCAGAGATGTCGAACATGACATTTTTGACTGATACTGCAAATTTCCATGTTTATTCCATCACATTTCAAATTTTAAGGGGTGCCTCTTAAAGAAAATTTTACGAGAAAACCACAGGAGCCAATTTTAGAACCTCAAAATCCTGTACAAAAGGATTTATAAGCGTTTTAAGTTTCGAAATTTTGTCCGACCTCTCCTGTTGACCTGATCCACTGTGCGCTGAAGCTCTGGCCACGACGACGGACGACCGTGATTTACGTACATTACTCCGCGTTAAAAGGGTTCTACCTTTTACGCAAGCTCGCGAGTTCTTACCCTGAGGATTCGTTCATGCGTGAATCGTATTTTGATCGCTACGGCGAGAGTCAGTGCGGCAAAATTTCGTAAAAAATAAAATCTTGAAATTCCACGTGAGGTATATCATGAGGTTTCAGAAATTTAGGAGGATAGAAACCGGTTTATTACATGACTAGCGCAACATCCTTAACATGACGCACTGTCATTATGAGTTAACATTATATAGGGTAAGTATGATATCATTTGCACACTAGTTAGGCCTATAAATGTGTGCCTCATATGACAAAATCATACCGCACAGACATTTTTAAATTCAGGGAAAGTTGAAGGGCTAACGAAACAAAAGAGAAACTTTTAATTGATGTAGAGGGATGAGCAGAGG